CGAGCTGGAAAGGAAAATTAATAATGCAGTGACATATCTTGTTGGTCATACAAACCTATTCAAAGTATTTATGAGGAAGACAGATTGCAAACAGCTATAGAAAAACCTCACAGTACTGACTGGCAGCAAAGTGATGGCAGATGAAACTGAGTGCTGATAAATCTCAAGTTTTAAATCTCACATGACAAGTAATGAACTCTCCGTACATTCCTTTAGCACATATGAAAGAGATCTTGGAATCATAACAGACAGGCCTCTGAAAACATCACATCAGTACTCAGGACTGTTCAGAAATCCAAATCAAATACTAGAAATTACTGGAAAAGCAGAAAATATCATAATGCCATCGTGTAAGTCCTTGGTGTAACTATATCAAATATATTGTAGGCAGCGGTTTGGATCCCCAATCTAAAAAAAATTATAGCAGATCAGATAAAAGGTATGGAAAGCTTTTATTGAAGGACAGAATAAATGGAGGAGAAGTGGGATTTCTCTTGTGTAATTTCACATCTGCACGTGAGCCAGTTGCCTAGGATCCCAATATAGCCAATGAAAATCTGCTCAGTTCAGTTGCTGCACTTCAGAATGTGATTCATGCCATCCTACAGTAAAACCTTACGTTATGTTCAACTCCTGGCTTTGATTAGCCATTGAATATAAAGGGACTATATGGTGACTTGCTCAGATGTAAATACCTTATAGACATTTAATCAAATATATCACAGTCTTTGTATCCTAAATGCAGAAGAAGGAAAAATATGATGGAGGGGTTGTAGAATCTGCTGCAGCGCAAAGAAAATCCATTAGGAACAGTTGATCACTGTCTCTCATGAGCTAAGAATTACAGAAGGTCTCAAGTGGTCTTAAGTGACAAGTTTAAAAAAGGCAAAAAAAGAGGTTGTCCTTCATCCTAAATATTGAGCTTACGATAGGGTATTTTGGATGGTAAAAGCCTACGTTCGTTCAAAAATCAACTAGGTAATTTCATGGAAGATGAATCCATCAAGATCTGATTGACATACAAACACAACTGCTGGCTCCAAAATCTCTGAGACCCAAATTACTGAGCTGGAAGAGTACAGCAAGGAGCAGGGAAGCTGATCTTTCCCTTACCTTCTTCCCTAAACAATTCTGTTGACTGCTATCAGACAAGCAACTGGGTGAGATCAGCTTTTCATTTGATGGACTACAGCCACTCTATGGTCTAGACTTTTAGTATTTGGCTCGTTAGGGTGTCTTCTAGAGTTCTTGCTGATTTTCCAACACATTTAAAAATATTTTCTAACAGGACTGTACAGATCATTTAAAATCCAATCTACCACCTACTGTATCACATACCGTTGAAATTCTTTCTTGCGTAAGGACAATTATAATGAAAATAATTTGGGGCTGTTTCTCCTATTGCTGTTCACACTGAGAAGTCGTTTACAACCTGAGCAATTTAATTGGTTCAAATAGGTCTCCTTATGGTAGTCGTACACTACTGACTGTGTATATTCATTTTTAAATTAAGAGCAATATAGTTCTCTAAATTTTCTGATATAAACCTGTGATAAGTACAGTATTTTTATGCAGATGGAAAAAAATAGAAAAATGAATCAGTCTTATACTATACAAAGTATAGTATAATTATATTTAAAATAGTGTAGTATAATTATATTAAAATATAAATATTTCTGTAAAACATTTAATCATACTGATGAAAATAACAATCCATTAGAAATTCTAAATTTCTGCTTCTACAGATGACAAGTACTGTAGAAAATACAGAAATTATAAATATTTATTAATCTTGTTTCAACAGTCATTGAATAAAAAAAAAGAACTCACATTGAATTTCACGTACTCGAAACCAAACACCTAGCTCTAGACTCACATACGTTGACTGGTGGACGAGTTACCTGTGATAAACTGTTGTTTAACACAGCGTTATAGTCACTAACCTATTTAATTATCAAATGTCATATGCCAAATCTTTCTATGGTTATTTTTTTCTTTTCTGTCTACAGTTCTTAATTGCAAGCTTACTGGCATTAATTCAGTAGCTGTGCATTGACTAGCATTCTGTTTTTGTTGTTTCTTTTTCTTATGTTTTGATTTGCCTAACTAATAGAAATGCTAGGAAAAATTCAGGCTTAGTAACAATAGAATACAGAATATAGAATTTAAAGATAGTGAAAAAACTGTTGTATTTTGTACATTGGAAAATTAGCATAGCACTGCAAAAATCAGTATCCTTGCAGCAGAAAAAGCAATTAATGAAAACATCAGTTGAAGAGGGGGCGGAAGTTTTATTTTTTAATTCCATACGTATTGGTATGATTTGTTTTCTTTTCTTGTGACTTGTTTCTGTGCCTCAGCATTTCTGCTCTGCAAAATTACAGTAAAAAAATATGTTGACTAATTATGAAGGATCTTCTATTTCACCTTAATATTTAACCGTATAATGATTGTGTGATTTACCTAATCATTTATGTCAATCTTCAAGTGAGAGCAGTACTTTCAAGTCAACGTTGCAGATGCAAATAATTGGTCTGAAATCAGCCAGGTACTTAAGTATATGTTTAAAAACAAGTGGTTTATAAGCTTAGACCTGTGTGCTTTGCCTAAGCAATGAAGTTTTCAATCAAAGCCTGTTCCTATTGCCATACAAATTAACAGAAAATTAACTTGGTTTAATGCAGGAACTGCATTAAAGTGCATTGTAATGTGAGGACTGATCTTTGCATCCAATGATCTGCATTTATTCTATCAGTGTTTCTTTATTTTATATACATATATTTATTATATATAACTTAATTTTCATTATATATTACTTTTATTATATACTACATATAATAATATATAAAATATATACACACGTATGTATTTATCATAGAATGGTTTGGGTTGGAAGGGACCTTAAAGATCATCTAGTTCCAGTCCCCCTGCCATGGGCAGGGACACCTCCCACTAGACCAGGTTGCTCAAAGCCCCATCCAGCCTGGCCTTGAACACCTCCAGGGATGGGGCCTCACAATTTCCCTGGGCAACCTGTTCCAGTGCCTTGCCACCCTCGTAGTGAAAAATTTCTTCCTGATATCTAACCTAAATCTGCCCTCTTCCAGACTGAAGGCCTTACCCCTCGTCCTATCACTATATGCTCTTGTAAAAAGTACCTCTCCAGCCTTCTTGTAGGCGCCCTTCAGATACTGGAAAGAAGCCTCAGAGTCTTCTCCAGAATATTTCTATACAATGTGGGCATTGGTTACACTAGCTGAGAGGTGTTCTCTCATCTTGGAAAGCAAGCAACACTGGAGGAACTGAATTGATCATCCCAAGTATAAGCCACAGAGTCATAGCTGAGGACCTTGGGCCACTGAAACTAACAGGTCACAGAAAAAAGCAGTAAAATAATTATTTGCAAGTGAAGTGTTCACACAATGCTGTATATATATGTCTTCATCCTTTGAGGCCTTTACCTTACAATAACAAATGTGTATTTTTAAAGCATGTTGTTCTCTGAACTCAATTACTAACTAAATGATCTGGGTAAGCACATTTATAACTCTGTGACGTAAAACCAAACGTGAGCTATTTTCCTTTTCTTTGTATTGAAGACCTTGCTCTACACTACACTGTAAATCAGCATTCTCTCCAGCAATGTCAGTTGTGTTCCAGGGGTATAAAACTGGTGAAATGGAGAAGTCAACTGTCATGTCATGAACTTGATGTATGCCTCTTCTCTCACATCGTGGCACTTGCATCGTTCTCAGCACTTTCCTTTACAAAATGCACATCACTTCTGATTGTGTATTCTACAGATTTATCATTAGAGTCATTCACAGTACATGAGTGCCACTTAAGTTAGTCTAACTCCTTGTGTTGTAGGGTAATTTAACATAATTAGGGGAAGTTAAGTCTGGTTTTGAAAGACATTTGAGGAACAATTTTTCAATGACATTTTCATTTAGAGCGGTTCATGGCATGCTAAAGTCTATGGATGTCTTCATACTGTTTACTTCTATGGTTCACTGAGATATTGGTTGGCCCTTTTTTTGACCTTTTTTGCATCACATGTTGATGAAATGATTACTAGGCAATAATTTCAGGTTATTTGATGATCTAAAATGAGATGCAGACCACATGTGGTTTGTATTAAAAATGCTGAGAGAAAGGAACTAGAAAGCAAGACTAATATAGCAAGTAAGTTATCCTGCCTTTGTGTGCAGACATCATATGGCAATAAAATGTGCTCCTGAAAATGACAGACTTTTTCTCTTAGGAATAGCTCATTGTTACATTATGACGTATTTTATCATATTAAAGATTCATAAATGTCTCCTTAGTAAAGATAGATATGGAACAGTGGAAGATCTGCATAGAGATTCCTCTCTTCGATAGAGTCATGGTGTCCTGAATTTGTCTGAATTTACTCAGATGCAAAATGGAAGCATTCATAGCAAAAAGGCTTTTTTGTTTTTTTGGTTTTTTTTTATTTGTACTTCCCATTGCTAACCTTTTATTTGTAATACACAAGATAATCAGGGTAAGATCATGGCCTTAGTGAGGTCTGTAATAGTTTTATCATTCCTTCTCTTTCTTCATTCCTTGTATTTGGGAACAGCACTCTCTCTCTCTTTTCAGGTGTTAAACAGTTGAACACTCTCGTCACTTTTTACTCCTCCACCCTGAGTGCTACACCCGTAAAGGATGAGGCGGGAGAGAAGCATGCTTTGCAGCGCACATTCCAGTGCGTGTTCTGGTTAGAGAGTTGGCTTAACTGGCCAAAAATTGCTATGAAGACTCCAACTTTATAACACCTTTTGAAATGCTGTGCCTTACCCTTGAGTCCTAAAGTCCACATGAAGTTATATAAAAAGACTGTTAACTGTATCATGACTAGTGCACTCCTTCCTTTCAGCTTGACATGGAATACCTCTACATTACTAATCAGCTGGTAGGAGAGACAATAGTTTTTGAAGTTAGTGTTTACCTTTATTTATGTTTAATTCACACAGGTTTATCGAGCAGAAATTGTACCCCTTAAAGAAAAGGTGCATCAAGTCAATGAGCTCGCTCACCGGTTCACTCCCTCTGATATTCAACTCTCCCAGTACAGTCTCAGCTGTGTGGAAGACCTGAACACAAGGTGGAAGGTGCTACAGGTACATTTCATGTGACTTTTTTCTTTATCCTGCATTTAAGTAAATATTTTTTTGTTTCTGTGTGCCTGTTTATTCCCTGTGGAGTAGCACCAAAGTTGTACTAAGAAATGAAAGAGGACACGGCCTTTCAGTAATGATGTCTCTACGAGAAAATAGGAGTTAAAGCTGACACTGTATTTTCGTGTGTTTCCAAATACTTTATCAAGTGGAAATCAGATAATGCATGTGTTTCCACTTTACTTTATATATATACTTTATCAAGTGGAAATCAGATAATCCAGTTTTTCATACAGTTAAAGTTCTCATAGACTTAAAATACTCAATAGTTTATTCGCCTTTTAATATTAATATTTAGCAAATCTTACTGCCAAATATATCATGTGATCATTTCTTTTAACTGGCTTATCCATGTTTTATAGATATCTTTATAGTGTATATAGAAGATTCACATAAGACAGTTTACTTCTGCTGCTTCATTTGTTTTACTATTTCCAGGAGCAGCAGTTTTAAATAAATTCCTCATAGGCAGATTAATGATTCTGTGCAGTGGAACCTTTAAAGTCACACCTGTAGAATCAATTATAAAATTACAAGACATTACATGCATTTAGGTAATTAGCAGGATTTGGTACTGCAAGTAAAGCTGTTCAGAAAAGGATTTTATAAATTGAGCTCTAATGCAGGAAAAATATTAAGATATATTATGAAATTAAGGTGAATATCAACTAGTGGTTGAATCATCACCCCTGGAGGTATTTAAAAGACGGGTAGACATGGTGCTTAGGGACATGGTTTAGTGGTGGTTTTGGCAGTGTTAGGTTAATGGTTGGACTCGATGATCTTAAAGATCCCTTCCAACCTAGACCATTCTATGATTCTATAAGTTAGAAATAATGAAAAATTTACAAACTCTGTGGATTTTTTTTGTTTACATATATATCATTTAAATTTTAGATTATTTTGTGTTACCTTGCAATAAAGACTTCATATATATATATATATAGTTTTTCCAAAATGCACTGTATCTTAGCTTAGAATTTTAGGAAGAGTGTGCATGAGGGAGCGTGTATAAGCATATGTGCAATGGTGTATGGTGGTGTATGTCCCACAGCACAAGAATAGTGTTATGATTAAATGAAGATAAATGCAATTAAATTAACTTCATTAATTGCTGGATTTTACTCACTATTTTGTTTTTTGCTCAATCACGGCTTCACATTTTGAAATTGTGTTATTGTATTTACCTTAATATATTGCAAAAATGTGGAAGTATGGAGGTTAATAGAGTTTTGTCGTCACTGTAAAATCCAGACATTAGCAATGGACAAAAATGAACCAATTCCCTCTTGTCCTTCGTACAGATAAAAGATCGTGGTGCTGCCAACTCTAGTAGTCAGTAAGAGCTTATTGCTTCTTTATTGCTTCTCCAAAAGAAATCTCAGAGCTCTCTGTCATCTACAGTTTGTCACAGTTCACGCAGATATCAACAGGACTTTTTTTTAGTTCTTTTTCCTAAATCAGCAGTTTGGAGTGAGAGTGCTGGTTTAAGTTAAAGATTATTAGTTCTAGATATTTGTTCATTAATATCCACTTTTTCCCAGATCCTTAGGATAGAGTTCAGGTAATATTATTAAAGAAGATCAACAGAAATCTGGAAGAAAAAATGAGTATTCCCAAAATGTTTATCCCACATATGAGAGAAATCACATCTGTTTCATTTTTTTAAAAAAACAATGGCTAATTGAGTTAACAGATTTGCTAGGATTCATTGAAAAATACCTTATTTCACTGACAAAACGGTTCACTAAGTTTCAGTGGTTTGCTGAAATACTTCATTACTTCAGCAAGAAATAAGGGAAAGCGGGAAGATTTTTCAGAGTGAAAGCATCTATGGTGTGAAAAAGTCAAACAAATCTGAGAGAAAGCCTGAGATAAATGTTTTGTTGCTATCACTCGTGAACGCATTAGACAGAGGACCAACTTGACGTTATAGACCGTTTAAAAATATGTAGGGCAAACCACATGTTCACACACATTTCAAAGATAATATGCTCTTTTTCCACAGACTACAGGAAGCATTGTGAACAATTCACTTTTCATTGTAAATTATTGTCTCGATTTATCAAATCCAGAGTACTTGGAACACAAAGTGTTTCATCTTCTATGAAGATAGATACTTTGAGACAGTATGTCAGAGTGAGATGTTAGAGCTAATAGGACAGATAGTTAATTGGAATATTATGGTTTACTGTCTTTTTTCGTATTTACCTAAATGTCATCTGGAAGATACAGAGAGCAAGGTGAAAACACTTCAGTAGATTTTTAAGCACATCCTGAGGGAAAAGGACATATGTGACTTTGAAGGAGTATCGTGTACAAAAGGTCAAGATGTGACCCCTGGGAAGAAGAAGAATACATCTGTTCCTATAATATAATTTTTCTACTTAAAAGGGAGCAGACTTTGAGACATATTTAGAGGCAGAGCTCTTTTTTGTTAGAATAGAATAGTTCCGTTGGAAGGGACATAAAATGATCATCTAGTCCAACTGTTCTACATATGAAGTCTGCTGGACTTTGACACTCACACCTGAGTGGCATTTTTTAGAGTATTATGTATTGTTCTATGTTAGGGTTAGACTTACTTATGTATGACCGGCACTCTGGTTAGGTGTGATACTATTTATAGAAAGCTGAAATTTTGGTCACACAATAGGTAAAGCAAAAATACAAGTAATTGTTGTTTCATACAAAACCATTCTACTTCCAACATAGGTTCCGATTGTTTGTTTCTGGTTTTCAGTTTAACTGCTGGGATATTTTTCCATTCATCTTTTTTTTTTTTTTTGACTAATTGCCTTTCTTGTACTAATGTCACATAAAACATCTCTTTAATACTTCAGTCCTTTCATCATTTTTTCCATTGATTTCAGCCTTCTATGTGTTTTCATGTGTATTTCTTTCATACTATCCATATTTTCTCTTTGGATTCTATTCATTTGTTTTTTCAAAAAGTATTTCTTTCTGTGTTCCTATGCTTCTCAGCCTTTCCCCATCTTACTTTCCTTATTTCTATGGGGTTTTTTTGTCACTGTTCTTCCTTTTTTTCTCCATCTATAATGCTTGTTAATTTACTTGTCATTTTTTTCCCCTTAAATGTTGTATCTCTTTACCTCTCCACATCCCCCCCCCCGCCCCCCCGCCCCGCCCCGTCATATTCCTAACGGGGAAATATTTCTTACCCATGTATTCCATTTCCTAGAAAATATCACTGCAGGAAAATCATAAACCAGAGGCTTCTGTGCTATCATTTGCCAGAAATATACCCATTCGTGGGTATCTGTGGGAAAAATACATAAGGCCACAAGGTTTATCAGACCTGAAATAATAGTGAATTCTAGTGTTATGAGAAAGTTGAAGAGCAATGTGTAGAGGATGAAATGATGTCTTGTTTGTTGCTCTGTTAACACTGGGACTTTCATAAGATCAGAGGAGGAAATGTATCATTTTAAGCCAAATCTTACAGAGATTTAATAATATATTTCACAAACATAAGAATAAGGCTGACCATATTCAGTCATTTGCAGTATTGCATTTGCAATAGTTGTAGTGTGAGATTGGTAATGTAATAGTGAATAGTAATTTACCTTTTTTGTGTTCAGTTTTGGTCAATGTACACTACAGTATTACTAGAAGAAAAATGTATGGAAAGGGCTCAACCAGTCCTAGTTTTGAAGTCTCGTGTGAAGGAGTTTTTCATTAATGAAAGATAATGCACTCAGCTCAGTCACTGAAAACTATAGCATCATTTGTGGAGTTTAAGCAATGTGAAAATAATTAGCTTCATGCCTTTAACAGCGTATTTTTGAGAAAAATATGCTGTTTATTTTTCCATTTTTCTTAAACATGAAAGGAGATGAAATCTCTCCAGGGAGCTATTTGTTATGAATTTCACAAGGAGCTCTCATGTTCAGATCCTGTGCGCTTCAAACAGTATGTGTAATGAGATCATCCTGGGGGAAAATATGTCTTGCAAACTCTTGCTTACTTCCAGTCGACATTTGAGGAACCAGGGAGACCAGGGAGTTATATCCACTTCACTTTGGTCAGAGATCCAGTTGGTATAATGCTAGTCAGAAGGCAAAGCCCCTGACATGTAAAAGAATTTCCAAGTATCCCATAGGGAACATAGCCTTCAGTTATCAAGAAAGATTTTTTTGGTTTAAATCAAATTGTGTCTACTCTTATTTGGAATAGTACCTCTAATGAGCTGAAAAATATCATAAGAACTGCTTTTCATCCAAAAAATGTCACTTCTAAGAGTTTTTGTCATGGTATTTGTATTCCAGTGCTTTCAGTTTAGCAAGTTGTAGTGAACTGCAGTCGTTGCGAATGGGTGTCTCTGTCTGTAATAGTGGGCCCAGCCTGTCTAGTTTGTAAAACTGAGCAAGCTGGAGGAAACACTATGGCTATAGCTAAAACAGCCCATACCACACATAAATACACACACACACACACGCACGCACACACACACGCACACACATATATATACACATTTACGGTTGGACTCGATGATCTCAAAGGTCTTTTCCAACCTCAATGATTCTATGGTTTCTATATATAAAGCGTGACTGTAAGGAAGCATTAGCCCTAATTTCAGTGTCGTTCCTAACTCCTCAGCTCATCTTGCACAGTAGCAAAGATTCTCGAGGATTCGGGGATCTGAAGATTGACGTGGCGCAGAAGTATGCTGCCTCTTGTTAAAGGATCCAGCCACAACTGCTATTCTGTTCCCTCAAACAGTGCTCTGCTTGCCAGAGCTGCTGAAGAAACAGCAGGTTTTTGATACTGCAGGCAGTTATCTAAAGTTGTATCATAGTTGTATTCGTATTCTGCTGAGGACGGGCTCTTTACTGAGCTGTGTAACACGCACTATTGTAATAAGTATCACTGCAACGAACTATTTCAAAAAACAGCATCTTCCAGGTGCTTCACAAATATTG